GAGAGAGAGAGAGAGAGAGGGAGAGAGAGAGAGAGAAAACAAAACCAAAAAAAGTTTAAAAATTTTCCCCAAAAAAAGCCCAAAACAAACAAGAAACTCCCACAAAAATTATCCGATAAAAAATCAACAAAAACAAAGAAAACCAAACAAGCAAGCATTTTCAAAACGGAGAAAGACAGCCCATTTATCATGTGTTTTCTTTCAAATTTGGAAGAAAAAACTTGCATGTCGAAACAAAAAATTCGAACTGCCATTCCACACTCTCGTCCTAGTTACTTAGAAGGATTTTCCTCTTTTATTTATTATGATCAAAGACGTGCTGGCTTTCTGTTGAAATGATAAACTGTTTTCAAACGTTTTTTCTTACAAACCCGTTTAGTTTTATACTTTAATACTATTTTATTTTCCTTTGCACTTTCATTTACTTTATCTTGGCTTTATAAAATAAATGCGTGTGTCTGTGAAAGATAAACAATCTTTGCTTGTTACAGACTCGGCCGCTTTACAAGAAAATAGTTTACAAACAGATATCGTGAAGGCGGAAGGGAAGAGCGAGTGTAGCAGTAGGGGCAGTTAGTGAAGGTGGATTGGGGTGGGGGTGGGGAGGGAGGGAACTATCGAACGCCTCTTGATCTGGTAGTTTTCAGGATTGCCAAGCGAGGCAAAGAAACAGTAGAAGGATAGGTGGCGTGCCCTTGAACAAGTTCGCATTAACCCTTCCTCGAACGTCAGGATTTGACAACAACAAACACCTTATCCATTGTTTCTTACGCACAGAAATAAAACCCCAACTTTTTCTACTACTTCAAGTTATCATCCTTCATATGGCTTTTATGCAAATACATAGGGTAGTCACATGCCTCACATCATCGGAAAATTTACACGACTTTGTAGTCCAAATTTTCACTCAAAAATTAATAATAAGTATATTTCTCTTTGTCCAGAATGTTTTGATATGATACCTTTCCACGGGCATACCGACACGGAAATTCGATATCGATCTACTAGATAGCGTTATTGTGATGTGAGAACTAAAGTCGCAATGATGATATATGAAAAAGAAGTGTATCTATCTGTCTTGTGTCACTTCCAGTAAGTCTAAGCTTTGATCCCCTGTTGAATAAATCATAAGTTTAGTTACAATCCTACACGGATTACATTTACATAATTTATTTGCAGTCCTTATGCCAGGCGCCGATAGACGTGACAAAACAAGCATAGCAGAGATTGTTTCACGGAGAATTTTCACAGAAATTCCAGAAGGTTACTCGCCTTTGTCACGGTCTCAAGTTTTCCCTAGGATATTGTGACTCAGGCGAGAGGGGTCTGTCAACACCCGATATTACGGTAAAAAGATTAAAAAATAATAACACAAAAAACGATCAAAGTCATATTTTCAGGATCAGAGAAAATCGAATTTAAATTTCGAAACAGACTGTACTTTGATAAGTTTTTCTGTGAACTCGTTGTTCGGTTTGACAGGTTCTGAAAGCAAACAATGGAAGCGGTGCATGTCGATGTGTATACTCACTGAAAACACGCATTCTGGACATTCGGCAACGCTTAAAGACGTAGTGTTGTGGAGCTTTTTATAAAAAGAGGGAAGAAAGTAAGTGTGAAGGAGAAAGAGAAAAAGAAAATGAGAGAGAGAAAGAGGGT